AGTATGGAGGTTCCTCAAAATATTAAAAATGGAACTGCCTTTTGACCCAGTGATCCCACTTCTCAGAATATATCCTAAGAATCCCAAGACACTGATCAGAAAGAATATATGCACCCCTATGTTCAAAGCAGTGCAATTTACAATAGCTAAGATCTGGAAACAGCCCTAGAACTTATCAGTAGATGAGTGGATAAAAAAGCTGTGGGACATTTACACCATGGAATACTATGCAGCTGTAAAGAAGAAGGATCTCTTGCCCTTTGGGACAGTATGGAAGGACCTGGAGAATATTATGCTAAGCAAAATAAGCCAGGCAGAGAAAGACAAATATCACATGGTCTCACTTTTATGTGGAATCTAAAGAACATAATAAACTGATGAACAAAATAGATCCAGTAGCATGGAAGCATGGACCAGACTGGTGAATCTCAGAGGGAACATGGGTGTGGGTGGGTAGCTGGGGAGAGATTAACCAAAGAATTTATAGGCATATATGCATAACCCATGGACACAGACAATAGCGTGGTGAAGGCCTGGGGAGGGGAGTGGGGGCACGGTGGAAAGGGTTGATGGGGAAAGAAGGGGACATCTGTAATATTTTGAACAATAAAAAAAAAACCCAAAAAACAAAAAAACCCAAAACATACAGCACTTCACTGTACAACCTTCCCAACCTACAATGGAAGCTAGAAAACTACAGATGGGAACAGAGGAGAATTACACTCAAGCTTCTGGTATGGACTAGACTATATTTCTTACCCCTTTGCTCTATAGTTCAATCTTAGAAATTGCTCCTTTGATATTACTCAAATTTAATCATTAGTTATTGAGTACCTCTAAATTCTTTCATACAAGTTCTCACTTATTTCCTTTAGAGTTTTATTAGTTTTGTTCCTAATTGCTTACTTCCTCTTGAGACTTTTTGTTCATGTTCAGGGGGGTCATGAGGTTCTTCCAATATCTACAGGGCTTAATTGTGGAAGAATCACTGAATAGGGGACTTGCACACAGGTAGAGATGTTTGTCTAGATGAGAAGCTGAAAAGACCCACCTAAGAAGCAAGAAACAAGGAAAATATCAGTAACAATGGGGGAAAAACAGGAGTCACTTTTTTTTAAAAAAAATCATTACCTGAGGATATTTTTTCCATTGCTTTTCAGAGAGAGTGGGGGGG